GTATATAAATATAAGAATGATTGTTTGGCACAAACATTTGGTAATTGCATGATGAAATTATGTGCATTTGCTTCTCGTGCTGCTTGTTCAATTTCTGTTCGTGTTGCATTCAATTTACCAAAACGAATGTTTTCATAAATACTCATATCGAACAGAATCTATTAGAATAGTGAATCAACTAGAAGAGGAAAAATAAAAAAACAAAGCATACTGGTTCTTGACTAACAACTCCAATGTTTTGTCGAAGTTGTTTTACATTGTAGTCTGTTATTGGTCGACCATCAATTGTAATTCGACCCGATGAAGGTTCATAGTATCGAAGAATCATTGATATACATGTGCTTTTTCCTACGAAGTAATGATGAACATAAATGAGATGATTTTTAACATGTTTATTTTATAAAAAAAAAGACTTACCACAGCCACTTGAACCAACAAGAGCAGTTGTTTGACCAGCACGGGCAATAAGAGAGAGATTATGCAGAACTGGTACATCTTTTCGAGATGGATAAACAAAGTTGACATTGTCAAATTCAATATCACCATTGATATTATATATCGATTCTTTATCCTCATTCCATACATCTATTTCACTGATGCCTGTACCATTTCCCTATATCATGTAAACATGTAAAAAGCATTGGTGTCGATATGAGACTTATATATACTCGAATTTACCTCATCAATAACTCGAAATACCGATGATGCTGCACCTTGAGCTTCTGAAACTGCTTGAAGGAAAGGACCAATAAAACTGAAGTAAAGCAAACATTGTGCAAAGAGGGAGATGACCTATATTAAATTAGTAATCGTGTATTCATGTTCCTATTGATTGATAATGTGAATTACTCACAACAAGAATATCACTTATGTTCAAGCTATGAGAATCTTTGCTTGACATAAGAAAAGAACCGAAGATGAAACCAACTACGTAAACTAGGGAGTTAGCCAGGACCAACCATCCGGAAAAAAATCCAAACACTGCACCGTGGCGCATACTACTCCAACGAGTAGGACGTAATGCCCTTTCATATCTGAACGCAATAAAAATAACAACATGTTTTATGGTATTAAATAAGTGAACTATTTTTATGTTTTTGCTTACCTTTTTTGCTCAAATTTGGTACCATTGAAAGAAAGAACAGTTCGCAATGAACTAAATACTTCTTGAACGATTTGCCCTGCTGTTGCATACGTCATTAACTGCTTTCTTGCTTCATTAGCGATGAGCTGTAATTATTCATACAGATTTAATTCATTGAATAACACTTCATACCTTAGACAACACAAATGAGCTACAAATAACCAAAGCTAGCAAACATAGCATGATCAAAGTCAATTTCCAGTTGGCAATGAAAGATGCTATAATTGAACCACTGATAATGAGATACGTTCCCATCAATAATAAGAATTCAAAAGTCATGCCTTTCTCGATCTTTGCAATGTTACTAAACAAGAATTAAATCAGATAGAATTGTTTGTAATAAAATATCAGAATAGCTTACTCAAGTAGTTTAGCATTGAGTTGACTAGTTGGTTTGGTATCCATATAAGGGATGCTCTAAAAATAAAAAATGAGAATCAGTCGGAGATGACCGAATTCGACTGATGTCACTCCAAGTCCACTCCTATTTCCAGAATTTAGGTCCATCTATTTTTTTCAAATTCTAATTCGACTTCGACTTCATGTCTTTCGAACTCTACTACTATTTTGCCTCTAAAAAGTTATGTTCTACACAATTATATTTTATTAATTTGATTCATATTTGCAATTACATCACAATTGATGTTTTGTCAATCAGACCTCTTTTTATTTTCCCTTGATAAGTTACCAAGTCAATAGAAATTGAATTATTACTGATAAATATCGTTAACATCAACTTTGCTCCCACTCTGATTTAAGCAAAATGTCAACTTCAATCCGACTGCCCCAGTCAAATGTCAAGGCCAACTATAACTATGAACTAACAAGCAAATATCACCAGATATCCCTTTCGACTTCGATGATTTTTTTTGCCGCAAAATTCTAAATAGTATTCTAGTGGAAACTTCAAAACATTTCATTTCTTATTGAGAGTTGACAAAGCTATTGAATTTCGTCTTTAAACTATCTGTAGTTGATGGTCTCATGTACAGCGGCATATGAAGAATTTTATAGTTTGCAGATTTCTTATGGTTCCAACATTGGCTTTTCAAAATTAATCGCTTTTCGAAGTGCACGAGAAATACAAGAATATTTGTGAAAGTTTTCTTTCTCGCAAATATGAAATCTACAACCCTTGAAAAACTCTTCGTACAAATCAATGTGTATGAAAGTTTCAAATGAAAATAATTTCAAAATAGAATGCAAAATATGCGATTTGTTTCAAAAGACTGTTGTACCAAGAGGTCTCTGGCAGATAGACATATTCATAAGTTCCTATTATGGGTAAGAACCGATAACAACATTATCTCGGACTATTTTTTTCGTTTTATTTGGCAATATTTTTAAGACACTACGACTTTTCGAAATAAAAAGAACCTGCATGAAGTCATTAGTGTTCGTGTATTTGGTTACCATTCTGATCGATTACTTATTTTAAGCCTACTAGTATTTCCTTCGATCATTTGTCAACAAAAAGAAATACATGATTCTTTCCGTTCCTTTTTAATGTCGTCTTTCAAACTAATCATGATTTTAAATAAATGATGTGCGTAGTTATGGATGTCGTCAGAAATGTTTTTATGAATCAAATTGAATCAGTAGATTGTAATGCAAATGTGGGCGACGTTTAGTCATTAGGAAACGTTTTGCGTGCGGTAAGCAAGAGATTAGGAGGGCAGAACGACAGTAATATTGAAAAAGTGAAAAAAAATATTCGAAAAAAATAGAACAAATTCAATATTTCTTTATATCGAAGAATGATCGATAAAATGTCAGAATGATCAAAATTAGTAGCTGATGAACATGATAATTAAATCCACGAACATTAATAACTTGATGTCAGTTTCTGTATATTTCGAAAGTTACATTGCTATGAAAACGTTAACCGAGATGATGAGAGCAGTCGAAAAAGTAGCCCATAATAGTGTTTTTATAGATTCTCATCCAGATTAAAATTAATAGGCCTCAAACTTTGTAGTCATTTAGCACTGAGTAAGTACAATAACATTCCAAGATTCCAAACAGTTTGCTTTTGTTAGATGTCAGAAAGATGAATTTTAAAATGATTTTAGAACTTTTGGGGCACTCATTATAACTGTTATCTAGATACGTTAGTTGATTTCATGGGTCGGCTAGAATCGCTAACGTATGAAGAGTGAGGATTTTTTTAAAAGAAAGAACTTATAGTAACGCTAAAAAATGCTGAAATGAAACTGAGGAGAAAGGGTTTTTGTGAATGGAAGTCTATTTGACTTACGCGTTGGATAAGTGATTGAAAGAGAGAAACACGCATACGACATATCTGTCGTTTCACAGTAATGGTCCAAATGTAATGTCCGATCGAGCCAGTCAGAAATTCGATACCACCAGTAACTATATCGACAGAGAAAAGAAGGCGATTTTCATTATTATTTGTTATTGTCAATTTATTACGTTCATATCACTTACTGAATAACCACTGTACTATGTTCATAACTTTTTCTCGAAATGAAGGCATTGACGTAGCTAAATTTGATAACAAAATGAAGTTATCATAGCCCAGTCTAAAATGAAAAGATATCAAAGAAAAATAAAAAAAATGCATAATGACTAATAATAGTTTGCAGTGAATTACTTGTGCGACGGCGCATTGTTGAATATATTAAGCTTGATGGCTTGAGGATATGCATCATAGTTCTTGATTGAAGCTGTTGAATTTTGGTATTGATGATCACAGTTATCACCAAATGACTCAGTAACAAATATTCCTGTGAGCCGACCGAAGAAAACTAGGTTAGCGACAATGCAGATGGCATGCAATACTCCCAAACATATTCCAAGCAACATGAGGACCAAATCGATACGATCTGCAAACCGAAACTATAATAAAATCGAATACATCAGTCGGTTTGCATTTGTTTTTAAATGCACTTACTAAGCGGAAAACATCAACCGGTTCATTTTTTTCACTTTGTTCAGCATTATCCTCTAATGTTATGTATTTTGTATCGCTTTCTTTTCTATTGAAACATCGGCGCCAATCAGAAAATCTATTAAAAATAATGAATTCAGTGTACTTTTCTCGAAGTTGCTTTTCCATTAGATCATACCTATCGCTTAAAAGTTGTTGCCTATTTCCATGATCATCATCATCGTCACCAATAGACAATTTATTGGTTGAGTTTAACAGAGGTTGTCTATCACTCATTTGACTTTTTTTTCACTAAAACTATCTTGAGAAATTTCGAAGGGTCGTATGCACGAATGACTTCATTAAAATTGATTCGTTATGGTATTGTGACTGCTCATGCATTTCTTTTCAACAGTTCTCTATTATTATTTAAAGAGAAAGACATGTGCAATCAAGCGATCGCCTAACTAGCGCGATACACTGATTCCAAACAAGATTTTTAATTACTTTTATATGTATATGCAAAGCACAAGACTTCTTCCCACTTAGCGTCTACAAATAAATAGAAATACGAATAGAAAAAATAACAAATTGAATTGGATAATAAATAAAAATTGAAAAACAATAGTCATAGATATAATGAATCTTGTTAGTTTAGCTACAAATCAAATGTCAACTAAAATGGATATAAAAATATGTTAAAATTCAAACAACCAACTTTCTCGAAAATTTTCACTGTCTACGATTGCGAGATTTCAAGTTCGAATGATTGATTTTTATTAGAACTATGTAAGAAAAAAAAAGAAACAAGAATATATGAGATAAGTAAATAAAGAACATTTTGACAAAATGTAAATAATATATAGTAAAACCTCTAATAGTAAACATCTGTCTATAGTGAACACGTTGTGATTATGAACGGATTTCAAAAGTCCGAAAAATCGACTTTTGCTGGAAATTCACCTGTCTACGGTGAACATCTCCATAAACTGAACGATTTTTTTCGGTCCCGATGGTGTTCACAATAGGGGGGTCTTAGTGTATAAGGCTTCTTCAAACTACTAAAAAGAAGTGCTTCTCATAGCTTTTTCAGTTACTTTATTATATTATACAATAGATGACAAGAAAATACATCTATTATTTTCTTGGGGTGGGGAGTGTTTTGAGCACCAAAAAAAGATGAAATGAGCACCAAATTAATTATATGTGAAAAGAGCACCAAATAAAGAGTGAAATGAGCACCAAATTTATTTATATGTGAAGTAAGAAAATAAATAATGTCACCACACAGAACAACATGAAGAACACAAAAAGGTAATAAATAAATGTTATGTAAATATGATTATTATGAAAAAAAATTTCATGATAACA